TTTCTCAAATGATTTCGGCACTCTTACCAATGGGAGAATTGATTTCCTACTCTAGATATCTATACTATCTGTCTTTATCTCATTAGTGTATTGTTGTAGTTACTATATATTTGTAGTAATTATTGAAATTTGGAAGTTTTAGTTTTATAATCTGTATGTTCCTTTTATGATTAGTTATTTCAAGTTATTTATGATCTTATGTGAATTTTAGAATAGGTTCTATTCCTGTAAAACCATTGGGAGCCCTATATGAGCTCATTTGCTGTTGGGTGTAAACTTGCTTGCTTTTGTGTTCATGCACTCTCTCCCTCTCTTCTTCCTTTCCTCTGCATGTAACTGTGTATGCAGGTGTGTGTATATAAATGTAGAGGTCAAGGTTTGATATCTCTTTTTTACCTTGTTTTAAACCTGGCTGGCCAGTAACCTCCAGGCATCTTCTTGTCCTTTCCTTCCCAATACTAGGATTAAGACCTGTATTACCACATCTGACTTTTTACCATGGATGCTGGGATCTGAACTTGGTTCAGTAAGCTTCTGCAACAAACACTTCACCAAAGGAGCCACCTTTGCAAACTGAAAAATATTTACTACTTCCTTTCATGGGTGCTTTCTTTTTCCTTGCTCTGATTAGAATTCCTATTGTTCCATTAAAGACAAGTAGTAAAAGGTTGCAAAATGGGACATTTGCTTATGGGAGGAGGGGAAATGAAAGAGAAAAGTCCAGATTGTCCTGGAAGTCTTTAAAGCAGTTAGGAGCACACTTTAGAATAAAATCAGCTCATTTGTTTTGTCCTTAGTGATGTGGGCTGGGACAAATTACTTGTCTTTTTTAGGTTAATAGTTTCACCCATAAAATAGACACAGTACCACTTTGATCATTTTGCTTTGAGTTTGGACAAAATCATGACCTGGGCATTCAAATACTTAGTTATGTCCTGGAGAAAGTTGTTTGACATGAAAAGCTTAATTTCAAAATCGAGAGCCCTTGGTTAACAGAGTGGAAAATGCAATGCTTTTTAATCATGTTAACCATTTTGTGTGATGACAAAAAGTGAGTTCATATCTTCAAAAAAAAGATTTTCCCCAATATGGCTGTGTCAAGTATGCTCACCTGTAATACTCAATAGATATTGAATTCAGGATCGCTCATCTGCTAGGAATGGTGTCTTGTCACTCACTAAGCCACATCTTCAGCCCCAGTATTCTATTGTAAGAGGTTTTTTGAAAACAATAACCTCAAAATTCCCAGCAAAAACCCCATTTAATGTACTTAAAATTCAAATGTTAAGTATTGTTCTGTTTAAGAATTCCATTTTTAAAATTCAAACTTCATAGCAATTTTCTTTGATAAAGGCAAAAGAATGTAAGATTATAACTATGCTATTTTATTTTTTAAAAGAATTTATTTTTATTATTTTAAAATTATGTGTGTTTGTGTGTATGTACATATGCGTGCAGGTGACCCTGGAGGCCAGAGGCATTGGGCCCTCCTGGAGCTGGCTTTAAAGACAGTTGTGAGCCACTGAAGTAGGCTCTGGGCCCTGAATTTGTGCCTTCTATAAGAACCTTTGAACCATGTCTCTGGTTCTCAAGTTAACAGAATTTTCAAAATATTATCTGTTATCATTTGTATAAATGAAAAGATAGACTATAAATGCAAGTTTTCATATATGTTCTATGTTTTCTTCATTAAGACTTTTCAGTATTTCAGGTTCATGTAATTAAAGCTATTAAAACCAACTTCAGTAACTATTGTACTTTTAGAGTATTTCTGGCTATCCCTTGAGCTCCTGGCATCTTCCCATCCTTTCCTTCCCAGTTGCTAGCATGACAGATGTGTGTTACCACAGCTGGCAAATACTTTGCCTACTTGTATAAGCAGCAGATACTAATTTCATAATGCCAGAGAAGATCTTCGATTATCTTATTCACTAAAACAAAACAAGAAGGTTATTTGTAAATAACATACTTCACTTTGTCTTCTTTCTTCTTTCTTGGAAATGTAGCTCTGTCACTATTTTTTCCTTCTATATAATTGAGTCATTTTAACTTTCCCAAAATATCACATGTCTTAATGCAGCTGTAATGCTAGAATTATTTTCCCCAAGAGAAAGCAGGTTTCCTTTCCAGTTAGCACAGTTTGTCAGCTCCTTTGGTTGTTTCTGCCGATAACTTTCTTTTCATGATTGTTTCCACCAGTCTTAATATCTTTAAAACAAACAATAAAGCAAACAACAAAAAAAAACCCAACAGCAATACCAGTCTATTATTTCTACCAAATTACTGTTCTTGTTAATTCATGTCAGACACACCAGCTATATACCTTTGAAAATATTTCATCTTTTCATCTTTAAGGTGGAGAGTGGTAGAGTTGTGTTATGTCATTTCTTATATCTCTTATGCAATTTCAGAGCAACATTTGCTAGGGAGCCCTGAAAATTGCTATAAATTAATGCAAAAGTAAGGATCTTCCTAGTTTTATCTTGTTCCCCATGTACTGTTTTGTCACAGTCTGTAACTGTTTTGTATTAACCAAAACTATACTGTAGTGATTCAGACAACTCAATTTGCATAAACTGAAAAAGACAATGTAGATTAATTAATCTTTTGTAACTCACAGAAATTTGATATAACAAATTGAAGCTAAAAGATGTGTATGTAGTGTGCAGTGAGATGAGGGAATTTAATGATTCATATTAGGAAGAATTAGAGGAAAAGTAGAACTTGAATGCCAGTAGAAAAGGTAATAAGTGTTAACAAACTATATTCTTTTCATATGTATTTATTTATACTTACTCAGTCTTTTATGCCTGTAAGTTATTTTCTTGAGTCAAAGGATATGGTATCAGTATTCGAGGCATGCTTCATAGTTCAACTTTATGGTTAGAATTCTTACCAGCTAGCTCTTATTGTAAGAAATAATCCCAAGAAAGGACTTTTATTGACCTAGTTTAGAATGTGTGCCTTTTTCTGTGACCAGGGAATGATTACTTCATTAAGCAAGGATTGCTCATTGTACAAACAGAAAGCATTATTATTTAAAGGAATCAAGGTTTGAGCTCCTTAAAAGCAGACAAAAATTCCTGTATGTTATTTTTAATGGAAAAAAGGAATTTTGTTTGTGTTGCTTCCAAGCTCTAGTCTTTTGCCTGGTCTATTTTGATTTAAAGGAAAAAATTACCATTACATTGAGTCAATCAATGATTGATGCTTACTCTGTTTTAAACAGTGGAATTACAAAGAAGAATGAAACAAATCTTTGGAGATGATCTTAGAGATAAATAGAATAAGAAAAATTTCTAACTTATGGACTTTAGTGATAGCTCATATTATTGTACATTTAAGTTTTAATTTGAATATAACTTATTTAGAAGAAGAAGATCTTCACAGGTTTTCACAAAGTGAATATGTGAGTGAAATCAGAACTCAGAATAGCTACTAGATACAGTGTGCCCACTGATTGCATAGAAGAGAGTGCATTCAGAATGATAATTTGGTATCTGTCAGTGCTTTCGACCCCAAGGAGTTTTTTGCTAATACTATAACTGTTCTTTTTTCTAAAAAAGAATGGTTTCTGTATCATTGTAACTGAAGGCTATGTGTACCTTTATACTAACAGTGTAGGTATTCCCTTGTTGTTTATTTTTTAAAAGTGCTGTAGGATATTTTGCAATTCCAAATTATTTTCCATTTAAAATCTCAAATTTTAATAAACATTTAGTAATTTAAATTGTTCCTTGTGATAATATGAGTGATTTTGGTTATGGAACCATACTGATCTTGATACTTGTCAAATTCTCTTCTGTTGAATACAATAAGAATAAAGTCTCCATGCAGCAATGGGTTTGAAGCTTTCTATAAAGAAAAGTGTGTTAAAAATTGTCGTGAGTATAATAGAAACTATTACACAAAAGGCGGATACCTAATTAAAGTGTTTCATATTTATCTTTCTTAGTACACTTCAACTTGTAGTATATTTTCTTACTCCTAGTACATTTCAGTGATTGAGATTTAGTACTTAAAAAAGATTCTTATTTGCTTATAGTTTAATATAATAAAACTCAATTTTTATAGATGTATTTTTCCTGAATATTTAAAACTTTCATTTATTATTTGTGTGTGTGGGCAATGCGTGTGGAGGTGAAAACACTAAGGGATCTCTCCTTCCACAAAGTGGGTTAAGGGGATTGAGCTCAGGTTGTCAAGGTTAGTAATAAGCCACCCCTATCTGTCAAGCCTCCATACTGGCCCATTTTTCCTGGGTATTTTAAAGACATTTTAATTATTTGAAATAGTTACGTGTTTTTAAGATGCACCAAAAAGTGTTGTTATATCTTTTTAACATGAGAGTATGTGTTACTTACCCATTTTTTGCCTTTTAGAGGAAAAAGGTTTGAGTCTATTTTAAAATAGGTAGACTAGAATGCGTCTCAGTCATACACGGACAGTCTGATGTATACATGGCATTAAGCTTGATCCCCAGCATGTCTTTAAAAATAAATTTCAAAGTTACAACAAACAGTCAAGTAGCACCATTTCTGAAAAAATTAACATTTTCACAATTAAACAAATCATTAAGAATATTACTTGGTAACAATGTAAATTTCCATTAAATACCTCTATTAATATACCTTGCTAAAAATAGTATAAAAGCAAAGTAGGACTTTTGTTTACTTGTTTATTTTGCCTCATGGTTTTAGGTTCTAGTTCATCATGGAAGACAAGGCATGGCCCGAAGAATGGCTATGGCAGTGGTAGATATTTTTAGGTCAGGGGTGTTTTTGAGACAGGATCTCATGTAGCTTAGCATGGCCTAGAACTCGCTGTCCTCAAACACACAGCAGTCTTCCTCTCTCAGCCTTTTAAATATTTTGCTTTTAAACTTATTGGCATTGGTCAAATAATTGACTGAATGGGAGAGCAATGTCAGATCTCTTTAAAGTGTTTAATTGTTATGTAAACAAACTTTGATGTTATGCATCAATTTTTATCTTTTAAAGGAAGGTGCATCTGCCCGTAAGACTCAAACTCCTGCAGCCCAACCTGTACCTAGACCAGGTAAAATATAAAATTTTGACTTTTTTCTACATGGTCGTAAAAATGAATGTTTTTGATGTATGGTAATCATTGTTGCACTTAAAAATATACTGAAAGACCATTTTTCTTCAAATTAATCATGAGTATTCCTTAAAGCAGGTTTTAAAATGTGGTAATGTACACAAAATGCTTATTAAACTTTGCCAGCATCATTAATCTTTATGTTCTTAGTAGAAAACCATAAAGTTAAAATGAATAGTTTGCAGAATCTTTGAAGTCTATAGATATTTTAATAATATTTACTGTGCTATCTTTTCCTCGATTTGAGTTAAAGTCTAATTATTTATTTTTGCCACAAACTATCTGGCAAAAGTAATGGAAGGAGGGAGGGAGGGAGGGAGGGAGGGAGGGAGGGAGGGAGGGAGGGAGGGAGGAAGTTCACCATCAAGTTTCTGTGGCAGGACCTTGAGGAAGATAATCACATTGTATCCATGGTCAGGAAGCAGAGGGGGGTGAATAGTGAACAGCTTTCTCCTTTTCATTCAGTATGGGATCCTAGTTCCTGAAATGGTACCACCTACCTTCAGGGTGACTCTTCTCACCTCAGATACTGGGATTTAGGTAATCCCTTACAGACATTTCCAGAGGCTAGCATGATCTAAACAGTCTCTCAGACTGGATGCCTGTCTCTTAGGTGATTTGAGATAAGCCACCACAGAAAATGTGTAAAATAAGTTATGGAACATGTATAACAGTAACATGTAAACTTGTACTATGGGTTTTGGAGCATATGGAAATGTAGAATGAACCCTTTAGTCTTCACTTGGATTAGGGACCTAATGAATGGAATTTCATTTCTGAGCATTACATTTATTTTTAAATTTATCTTCATCAAGTATTAGTAGTATTGTACCAGAAAAATCCCTAGATACGTGTCATCTTTTACAGTGTTTAACTAAAAAATTTTAGATCTTTGAGAAAGCTTGGAAAGTAGCTAGCTAACACTAGTCAAGTGTTTTCTAGTGCATGGAGAAAGTGTGTCTTAGATAAGCACAGCCCACTGGCGTTTTGTTTTTATAGCCTGATGAAATCATTGCCCTTCTCTCACCTTCTTATGCACCGCTAACTGCATTCAGCTTCTCTAGTTTAATTATTTTTATTTTTCTGAGATAGGCTCTTCCTGTGTAATCCTAGCTGTAAAACTCACTTGGGAGATCATGGTGTCCTTGAACTTCTTCCTAACTACTGGGATTAAAGACAGATGTATGCCACTGTGCCCAGCCTTCTAACTTGAAATTGTTTGCATATAATTTAGACTCCTTCTTAAGTAAATGACCTCCAGTATGCTTGTTTAATATACTCATGTAAGATTGAGAGAGTTACACTGGTATATTTCATTTCAATTTCTTCTTTCCCTACCTTCCTGTAATTTTTTTCATTCATTCATTTTTGTCTGTCTGTCTGTTTAATGTGCATTGGTGCTTTGCCTGCATGTATGCCTGTGTGAGGCTGTCAGATTCCCTGGAACTGCTGGAGGTAAAGACAGCTGCCATGTGGGTGCTGGAAATTGGAATCTGGGTCCTCTGGAAGAGCTGATAGTATTCTTAACTACTGAGCTGTCACTCATCTCCTCGTGGTATTAGTTATTCAGCTTATAAATGATGTGCTAGATGGAATATTTCTATAACCATCCTATAGTTTTAATGTGTATTTCATCTTCAGTTAGACATCTTAGCTTTGAAACCTGGTACTAACAATATTAGCTGTCGTTTGTATATGAAAATAAGTTGTAGGCATTGTAAAACAAATTTAAACAACTTTCCCACCCCTCCCCCCACCAATATCTTTTTTTTTAATACTTAAATAGGCAGCACCGCTATTAACTCTGTTTTTAGCCCACAAACTTAGTAGGCATTTGTTCTTCGTGTCTAATTTTACCCTTCATAGACCTGAGGGAGCTGTTGTCAAATTTCTTTTTCTGCATTCCTCCTTCACTGTTTGACTTCATTGTCTCTATCACAATTTAAGGCCCACCATTTCCTTAAATTAGCATCTTACATGCTATTCAGCAGACCACAGTGTATCAGTATGCTAATGTTCTGTCTCTGTTCTGTCCTCCAAAAGATGCATGGTAGAAACTGTAACAGGCATCTTTTTCAAAATCCAGTGAATTCAGTCAGTTTCATAATAATTGTTACTACTCATTTCCACTCAGCCTTAAATCAAGTAAGCAGTAAGAAAAAATAAAGCTCTCATTTAAATCATATAATTTGAGAAGGATGATTTACTAATTCTATCTGAGCTTTTTTTTTTTTTTAGCTCCTGCTGGTCTGAAGCTAACTATGTATGCCAAGCAGAACCCCAAACCAGAGATATGGCTGCCATTGTCCCCCCCCCTTGCATTAAAGATGTATACTACCACATTTCAAAGTCCTCCTTTTAATTCCTGTCTATATCTTGTAATTTTCTTTTGCAAAAGATACAAGATGAAAATCAGATCATATCACTTTCTGGCTTAAAAGTTATTGGACTTTGTGATAACATTTACATATTTGGGAAGAAAAAACAGACGTTCAATATCCTTTGCAAATCAAAACTTAATTGAGATTCTGTGTCAACAGTGTCATAATAGCATGTTGTCAGAATGATTGGTAGCCCATGTCTGTAGTCCCTGCTACTTAGAATTGATAAGATCAGGTGAACCTAGAAGTATAGTTCAAGGCCAGCCTGAACAACATAGTTTTCTTCACACACACAAACAAGTAAACACACTTAGCATTGCATGAAGGTCCCTATTGAAGCCCCTTCCCTCATGTATGCATGCATACATACGTGCATACATGTGGCCTCATCTCTTGCCATTCCTCCTGTGGTCACACATTTGCTTTGTCTCATTTCCATAGCCATTGAAGTCTGCCTTTGGTACTTGCACACATTCCAGTTCATCCACCTATGCTTTGCAAGGTGGCTCCTTTTCATCCTTCACTTTTCAGTTTAAATGTCACTTTCTTTTAGACATTTTCTAAATATTTTCTTTGAATGATACTTTTCTTCCTATTCACATTTTTATTAATATGTTCCTTTTGTGTTCAGTCTTGTTTGTGTGTTGGAGATTGAATTAGTGTCTTGTGAAGTTAGGCAAGTGCCTAACTAAGCTTTTATCTCCAGCCTTTTTAGTTTATTCGTGTATTTGCTTCTACTGGCTCACCCACGAAGCTGAAAGCTCTGTGAAGATAAGATCTTACTGCTATTTAGTGACTATGTACAATGTCTTGTGAAGATGTTGTAATACATTTAAAAATCAAGAATTCAATCATTTGTAACAAAACAAAGGAGCATTAATATTTTATCTTTTTTTAACTGGCATATCGGCAGTGATTATAGTTGCTTTACTAGTAGTGGTAGCAGTAGCAGGGCTCAGTAATTGACACAAATATATGTCAAGTCTGGCTAAGGACTTGGAATACATTATTTTTTAGATTTCTCATGACACTTAGTAGGATGTAGAATTACATCTGTTGTGCAGTTGAGATAACTGAGACTAGGCAATGTGAGCCAGTCACCATAGGCAGTGGCAGATATGGTAGTGAGTTAAAGCATGAGGTCAGTCTGCCATAAGACTTACTTATCTTTATTTTAAAAATGTGTTAATGTATATTTATTTCAGAGGAATCAGTTTCAAACTGACATTTTTGTTCAGTATACTGAGTGCCTTCACCGTATGAGCCTATCATGTACATTGGCCATATTTTCTATCCATTACTTTCTCCTGATTTCTCTGTAGCAAATTAATCCCATTTCTATTTTCATGATGTCTATGGGCATATATTATATCTGTGTTCATAAAAAAATCTAGACTCTGTAAATGAGAAAAACCATAGTTTGTCTTTCTGACTCTGACTTATTTTGTGTAGAATTGATGGTCTCCTGTTTTTTTTTTAATTTCATTTTATAAGTGTTATATATGTGCACACTGTGTTTGGAGATCAGAAGTTATAGATGTCTTTCTCAGTAATTTTGTACTTTCTTTGAAACAGTCTTTGACCAAAGCTGGAATTCATGGCTGCCTAATGAGCTTCAGTGACCTACCTATCCTTGACCACCTGCCCAAACTCCAGGGCTGTTCTAGGTACACATCACTGTGCCTGACTTTTTATGTAGGTTGTTGGTATCCAAACATAAGTACACATAACAGGATCTTGCATTATTTCTGTTTTTTGTTTATTTGTGAGGAACCACCATGTGGAATTCCTTAGTGGCTAACTTAAATTACTTCTTGCTATTACTGTGTAAGTGCTCCTTTTCCCCATTACATCCTTGCCAATATTTATCCATATGTATACGTATGGATATGTATATGTGTGTATATATGCGTGTGTGTGTGTATATATATATATATATATATATATATATATATATGTGAATAGAGACACAGAGGAGGAGAGAGCCCTGTTGGAAATCAGAGTGCATTTTGTTAGGAGTATGATCTCTTTCCACCATGTGTGTCTTGGGGACTGAACTCAGTTGTCTGAGTTAGTAAATGCCTTTACCCGTTGAGCCAGTTTTCTGCAGTCTATTTTTTATTAATGTTAATTTTCTCACAGGTGATACAGGATCACATTATAGTTTTTATTTGCATTCCCCTGATGCCTAAGATTACTGAAAAAAATTTTTGTGTTAATTTATTATTTGTACTAAGACCTTTGAGAAATAGCTTCATTCCATATACCCATTTATTGATCAGTGTATGTATTTGTGTGTGTTGAGCTTCTTTTTTCTTTTTCTTTTGATACATTAAAAATTTTTTTTTTAAATTTAAATCAGAAACAAGGTTGCTTCACATGTCAATCCCAGGTCCCTCTCCCTTTCCTTCCCCTCCTCCCACACCCTCCCATCAACTCCCCCCAATATCCCCTCATTTCCCCAGGGAGGGTGAGGCCCTCCATGGGGATGTCTATAGTCTATCATTTCATCCAGGGCAAGGCCTAGACTCTCCCCCAAGAGTCCAGGATGAGAGTGCATCTCCCATATGGGATGGCCACCCAAAGTCCATTTTATGCCAGGGATGAATATTGATCTACTACCTAAGGCCCCATAGATTGCTTAGGCCTCCTCATTGGCACCCACATTCAGGGGGTCTTGATCAGGCCATGCTGGATTCCCAGCCGTCAGTCTGGGATTCAAGAGCTACCCCTTGTTTTGATCAGCTGTTTCTGGGGGTTAAACTAGCCCAGTCTTAACCCCTTTGGTCATCAGTCCTCCCTCTCTGTCACCGGATTCCAGGAGGTCAGTCAGTGTTTAGCTGTGGGTGTCTACTTCTGCTTCCATCAGTCATTGGATGAAGGTTCTAAGATGGCATATAAGGAAGTATCGAACTCATTATCAGTATAGCCATACCACCCTGATGTGCCTGATCTTGTCTGATCTTGGAAGCAAAGCAGGGTAGGGCCTGGTTAGTACTTGAATGGGAGTTGTTTTGTTTGGCTGGAGAAGAAGACCAGGACCTGGGGTTCATAGACTCCCACTCGAGGGAAAGCTCACTGGTGGTCCCCAGGCACTGGTCCAGTGGATGGAGAAGACAACAAGGAGACTGGGGTGCATAGGCTTCTGCCCGGAGGGGAGGCTCAGTGGCAGTCTCCAGGCACTGGTCCTGGTCCCGTTGGTGGAAAAGACCAGGAATCTGGGGTGAGAAGGCTCCTGGCCAGGAGGGGAGGCTCAATGGCAGTCCCCAGACACTGGTCCCCTGATTAGATAAGACCAGGAAACTGGGGTGGGTAGGCTCCATCCAGGAAGAGAGGCTCAATGACACTCCCCAGGTACTGGAAGGCAGGCCCGGATACAGGGCCGGGTTTATCTGGTCCTGTTGTTGGAAAAGAAGACCAGGAATCTGGGGTGAGTAGGCTCCCGCCAGGAAGGGAGGCTCAGTGGCAGTCCCCAGGCAGTCCCCGGGCACTCATACTGAATTTCTTGGTTTCTTTATAGGTTTGAGATATTAATCCCTGTACAATGTGCAGCTGACAAACTTTCCTAATCTTGTAGGCCATTCACTTTGCTGTCCCCATTACTCTGCAAAAGCCTTTCATTTTATGTAGTTCATTTACTAGTGCTGGGATTGTTTGCTGGGTCTGGGGTCCTTAGAAATGCTCCTCATTCCTGAGCCCTTAACATGTACCTTATTCTGATGTAGCACTTTGAGAGTTTTACATCTTCTTTTAAGGTCTTCAGTTCATTTTGAGTTGATTTTTGATATAGGAAGGATGAAAGGAAGGAAACTGGTTTCATTCTTCTGCATGAGGATATTTCCCTGCACCATTGTTTTTTCTTTTTTGGGAGGAGATTTGTTTTTTCCAATGTTTGTTTTTTATACTTTTGTCTAATTAGATGGACATAGTAGTGTGGGTTTATTTCTGAGTCCTCAATTCTATTCCTTTTCTCTACATGTCTGTTTTTGTGTTGGTACCATATAGTTGCTGTTACTATGGCTTTGTATTATAATTTGGAACCAGATAATTGTTGTTTTTGATCATAATTTCTATGATTAGTCAAGAGCTTTTATGTTCCCATGTGAAATTTAGGGTTTTTTTTTAAAGTTCTGTAAAAAATATCATTGGAATTTTGATGATACTTGCATTGAAACTAGGTTACTTTTGATTGTGTAGCCATTTTCACAATACTAATTCTACAAATCTATGAGCACACCACACAGAATTCTTATAGTGCCTGCTCTAGTTTTTGTTTACTCAAGTTTATCAACATGAGTTTCACCATGTCCCTTCTGTGGTACATCTAGGGAGTCTGTTACTACATTTTTTTTGTAGTCATTTTATCTTAACTTTGGAACTTTATATGTGTTAGCTTTTATTTTTCTTGTAGTTGGTCTTCTGAGCCTTTATTTTAACAAATGTTGCTTTATTTTTCTGGATCTGTGTGTAGATTTCCTTAATAGAAAAGAAAGAATATCTGAGTGAAATGACATTGTGATAGATTTCCTCCCTCATCTCCCTCTCATAGCTTCTTTTCTCTCTTTTGTGCCCACGTTTCTGTTCAAATATCATTAGTTTATCTTCCACCAAATGCTATTTCCTATGCCTATGTTATATACCAAATAAATAATATGTTCTAGGTACTCAGATTTATTCATGGTCCTAGAAATGAGTCAAGAAAGCTTGTATATTTCCTTAGGAAGAAGAAAAATGAAATGATTATAAATATGTATGTATGAACCAATCTCTGTAATGATGGAAAGATCATGCAGTGCACTCGGTAGTAACAACAAAATAACTATTCAGAGTATAAAGAATTCATTAGGATGTAGCATCCAGCTCCCTAAAGAATGGAGTGTATTCCAAAAATGTTTATACTCTTGTGTTTCACTTATAGATGACAACTTTTTTTTGGAAAGTGACATTGAATTTGAATTTTTTTCTGTACCACCCATCATTCACTAGTTTAATTCTATTACATATAAGTAATGGTTTTTGAGTTGCCAAACCACATTTCCACATGGAATAACTATATTGGCTAGATAAACTTTTCAGGTAGTTCTTTTCCACTTAGTCTTAGAAACCCCACTTCCAGTTTACTTGTGTTAGCACCTCTTTTTCCCTCCCCTTTTCAGGGTGTTCTTGTGTAAATGCAGTACATTTAGGTTGTAGTCTGTCCTTAGTCATTCTCCTAAATGATTTTTTAAATGTTGCTGTTTATTCTTTTTTTTATTTGATCTTGTTAAGTGCTCGCTGTCTTACATCCTTTATCATAGTATCATGCGGAATCAGTTTTAAAATTAAACCAACTAGATTCCATGTGATACACAAGAAGTATTTCAGAAGATGTTACATAGGTGAATATTAAAACTGAACATGAAGCACTATTGTCTTTGCATAGATCATGAGTGATATTAATATGCTAACAAATATTTCTCTGCTGTTATAGATAGAAAAATATTTGTTTCATAATGCAATCATAATTACTGCTAATGAAGTCATTTATAGACATTATAGATTAGATAGATTTTCAGAGATAGTTGACTGCTTTTAATGGTCTTTCTTTGACCAAAATTATTTAAAGATTTTAAAGAGAAAAGAATTTAAACACTATTTCCTATCGTAATCCACAATAACTTTATTCTCTTTCCTCAGTTTCCCTATCTTTTAGTACTCTGTTCTTACATTTATAATAATCAGTGAATTATAAAACTGTTTTTGTTTATCAGATTCAGACATCCATGATCTAATTAAATTGTTATATTTGTTTCTTTATTAATGTATATATTCTTCTATTATTCATTTCTTAATTGTTCAGTAATGCTACAGTATTTTAATATGTGTAAAATACAGAGGCACAAAATGTGGAATGTTTGTGTTTTACCACCAGTCTTGTGAATATCAATAATGTTTAAACTTCCTTTGTTAGTTGGAAATAATTTCTTAATAACAATGGTGATTTTATTTATTTATTTTTGTTTATAGTTTCTCAAGCAAGACCACCTCCAAATCAGAAGAAAGGTATGATTGTGTTTTTCATTTACTTTAGGAGGTAAATATAAGTAAACTAGGTTTCAAAACCAGAGCTAATATGCTTGTGTACCAAATTGAGTATGTATGCTTGGTATTTTTACTTGGTGGGAAATAAGCTACATTAAATATTTTTGTCATTATTACAAATTTAAAATTTAAAATAATTTAAAAATATTTTAGCATGAAAGAATTAAGGTTATAAATTTAAAATTTATTTTAATACAGAAAGTAATTCTTTCAACAATAATGATTTTTTTTAACCTTTAATTTTTTTTGTTTTCCTTTACAGGATCACGAACACCCATTATCATTATCCCTGCAGCTACCACTTCTTTAATAACCATGCTTAATGCAAAAGATCTTCTACAGGATCTGAAGTAAGTAATTTATAGTGGTTTTGTTGTTGTTGAATTTTTTTTCTTAACTTTTTAAAAATGCTGTTGTTTTTTTGAGACAGAGTTTCTCTGTGTAGTTGTAGCTGTTCTGGAACTCTCTCTATAGAACAGGCTGCCCTCGAACAAAGAGATCTGCCTACCTTTGTCCATCCGTCTGTCCGTCCATCTATCTCCAATAAACAACAACAACAACAAAAAAACCATACAAAAATAGAAACCAGAATATACAAGCAAAATATCAGTAAGATAGAATGCCTAGATAAAATGTGTACAAAAATACAACCTACTCTGATGTGTGGTGAATATACTCAGTGAGACTCCACTGGATAAAACTAAGTTTTCCTTGGCTACTAGATGTCAACTGCAGATAGCTTCTTGTTTAGGGATGGGAGCCCGTCCCCCCCCAAAAAAAACCCCACAAAACCAAAAGCACAGGTGTGAACCTATGCAAACCTTGTGTTTGCTGCAGTGGTCTCTGAGAGTTTGTATGTGTATCAGAAATGTGTGTGTGGCAGACAAGTTCTTTGGAATCATCCATCACATTGGCTCTTGGGATTGTTCTACACCCTCTTCCACATCGTTGTCCCCAAGATCTGAGAGGACAGGTGTGATAGACATCCCATTTATGACTTAGTGTTCGAAAGACACATGCTCTGCACATTGTTGGTTGTGAGCCTCTGTTATTTCCCATTTACTGCAAAAACAAGTGTCTCTGGTGATGGCTGAGTGAGGCACTGCTCTATCAATGTAACAGAGTGTCATTTGTAGTCTGTCTTAGATGTTTCTGTTTTGCTGTGACGAAATGTCATATCCAAGGTACTTTTAAAGTAAGCATTTAATTGGGGACATGCTTACAGTTTCAGAGGGTTGGTCTGTGGCCATCATGGCTAACAGCATGGTGTCAGTTGACAGGCAAGCATGACTCTGGAGCTGTAGCTGCTAAGAGCTGGCTTCTTTTCCCATAAGTTATGGGTAGAAAGAAAGAGTATGACTTAGCCTGACTCGGGCTTTTGAAACTTCAAAAAGCCCACTCTCAGTGACACACCTCCTTCTTTAAGGCCACACCTATTACAAGAAGGCCGAACTTAGTAATCTAAAAGAGTTATGATAACTGGAGACCAAGCATTCAAATACAGGAGCCTATGCGGCCATACTCATCCAACCACCACACAGTCATTTTATTGCTGGGATCTTTTAGCAGAGTAATAGTCTTCCTATCCAGTCTCAGGTTCTTGACCACTCTAGCGGTTTGACCTTGATTTAACTTTGCAGATAAAGAAATTTATTCATTTCTTTTAGGTTTTTGGGTTGGGTGGAGTACAGATTTTTAAAGCACATCCTTAGGATTCTACAGATTTCCTTGGTATCTCTTGTACCCCCTTTCCTCTCTAATTTTATTAATTTGTATCTTATTTTCTCCGTGTCTTAGTTAATTTGACTAAGAATTTTTCAATGTTAATGATTTTCTGAAACAAGCAATGCTTACTTTCATTAATTCCTTGTTATTGTTGTTGTTGGTTTATTTGATTGTTTCTCTTTCATTGATTTCAGTCCTGAGTTGGATTATTTCTTGTTGTCAATATTTTTTTCCCTTTTTTTAAAATTTAAATTAGAAACATGCTTGTTTTCCAGGTCAACCACAGTTTCCTCTCCCTCCCCTCCTCCCCTACCCCCCACAACCCCCATCCCATCCTTTTTTTGCTCTCCAGGGAGGGTGAGGCCTCCATGGGGTATCTTCAAAGTCTGTCATATTATTTAGAGCCGGCCTAGACCCTCCCCCGTGCGTCTAGTGTGAGTATTGTGCTATGTGGAGTGGGTTCCCAAAGTCCATTCATACACTAGGAATAACTACTGATCCACTACCAGAGGACCTATAGATTGCCCAGGCCTCCTAACTGACACCCATGTTCAGGGGGTCTGGATTAGTTTGATGCTGGTGTCCCAGATATCAGTCTGGGGTCCATGAGCACCCCTTTATTCAGGCCAGCTGTTTCTGTGGGTTTCCTTACCCTGGTCTTGACCCGTTTGCTCATCACTTCTCCCTCTCTGCAACTGGATTCCAGGAATTCAGCTCAGTGTTTAGATGTGGGTGTCTGCTTCTGCTTCCATCAGCTACGGGGGTGAAGACTCTAGGATGCCATATAAGGTAGTAATCAATCTCATTATTGCAGAAGGGCATTTAAGGTAGCCTCTCCACTATTGCTTATAGTGTGGGTCATCCTTGTAGATCTCTGGACATTTCTCTAGTGCCATATTTCTCTTTAAACCTATGATGTCTCCCTCTATTATGGCATCTCTTTTCTTGCTCTCCTCTATTCTTCCCCCTGCTCCCTCATGTCCTCTCTCCCCTCCTCTGCTCCGCTTCCCTTTCTCCTAACTCCCTCTCCCCTCCTCCCATGTTCCCAATTAGCTCAGGAGATCTTGTCATGTATGTCCCTCTTAGGGTCCTCCTTGTTTCCTAGCTTCTCTGGCAGTGTGGATTGTAGGCTGGTACTCATTTGTTCTATGTCTAAAATCCATATGTGAGTGAGTACATACCATGTTTGTCTTTTTGTGACTGGGTTACCTCACTCAGGATTGCTTCTTCTATTGCCATCCATTTGCCTGCAAATTTCAAAATTCCATTGTTTTTTTCTGCTGAGTAGTACTCCATTGTGCATATGTATCACATTTTCTCTATCCACTCTTCAGTTGAGGAGCATCTAGGTTGCTTCCAGGTTCTGGCTATTACAAATAATGCTGCCATGAACATGGTTGAACAGATGTCCTTGTTGTACGAATGTGCATCCTTTTGGATATATGCCTAAGAGTGGAATTGCTGGATTTTGTGGTAGACTGATTCCCATTTTCCTGAATAACCTCCATACTGGTTTCCAAAGTGACTGTACAAATTTGTATTCCCACCAGCACTGGAGGAGTGTTCCCCTTTCTCCACATCCTCTCTAGCTTAAATTGCCATTGGTGATTTTGATTTTAGCCATTCTGCCAGGAGTAACATGATATCTCAGAGTTGTTTTGAGTTGCATTTCCCTGATGGCTAAGAATGTTGAGTACTTTCTTATATATTTTCCACCTATTTTAGATTCCTCCATTGAGAATTCTCTATTTAGTTCTAATACCCCACTTTTTATTTGAATCATTTGATGTTTTGGAGACTAGCTTCTTGAGATCTTTGTATATCTTGGAGATCAGCCCTCTGTCAGATATGGGGTTGATGAAGATCTTTTCCTATTCTGTGGGCTGCCATTCTGTCTTGTTGACTGTGTCCTTTGTCTTACAGAAGCTTCTCAGTTTCAGGAGGTCCCATTTATTAATTGTCAGTCTCAGTGTCTGTGCTACTAGTGTTAGATTCAGGAAGCGGTCTCCTATACCAGTTCATTCAAGGGTACCTCCCACTTTCTCTTCTGAGAGGTTCAGTGTGGCTGGATTTATGTTGAGGTCTTTGATGCATTTGAACTTAATTTTGTGCATGGTGATAGATTTATGGATCTATCTGCCGTCTTCTACATGCCAGCACCCAGTTATGCCAGCACCATTTGTTGAAAATGGGTTTTTTCCATTTGTCAAAAATCAGGTGTTCGAGGTGTGTGGGTCAATATCAGGGTTTTCATTTTGATTCTATTGGTCTTCCTGTCTATTTTTGTGCCAATACCAAGCTGTTTTCATACTATTTGTGAGTGTTATTTCTTTTTGTTCTAGAGCTTTCAAATGTAACGCTTAAGTTACTAATATGAGATTTCTCCATTTTGTATAAGCACTTAGTGCCATGAACTTGCCATGCAGCTCATAATATCCTTTCTATAAGAGAATGCAACACATCTTTGCATCATTAAAATAAATGTTCTGCAATATAAACAAATGTAACACATCTTAAAATAATATTTCAGAACAGAAAGGGTAGGTGGAAAAGAACTCAGCCGAGTCTGAGAGTGAGGAGGAGATTGTAATGGAGGACAGGAAGTGAAAATCATCTGAGTTACAGCCAGGTATGGCCACTGATGGGGAGTCCCAGGTAGAAAATATTTGTGAGGATTGGTGGGTGACAGAAAGGGATGGAGATGGGATAGAAGGGAAGATTCATGTGTAGTTATTGATCAAGAATTACTTATTTTGGGAGAATTTTGTCTAACAGAATGCTGAAATAAAAGTTTTCCAAAAAATTGATAATCTTAATTATCTGGATTTTGTAGAGCAGTGTTTTTTTTTTTCTCTTAAAATTTAACTATTTCACTCAGTCTTTTTTATTTTCTATTCATTTTACATGACAACCACAGTTACCCCTTCCTACCCTCCTCTCCCCACCTCCCGCCTCCTCAGAAAGGGTCAGGCCTCCCATGGGGAGTCATCAAAGCCTGGCACATTCAATTGCTCCATGTTCAAGCACCCCCAAAATCAGGGCAACCTACTATATAGAATGGGCTTCAAAAAGCCGGCGTACGTGTTGTGGCTAGTTCCTGGTCCCACTGCCAGGTTTCCCAAAACAGACGAGGTCACAAGACTGTCACCCACATGCAGAGGGCCTGGTTTGAGATCAATTCTCCACTGTTCATTAACGTAATATATATACCACATTGTTAGAACTTTAATTTTATAGCATGAATTTTATATTTCATTTATTACACACACACACACACACACACACACACACACACACACACACACACACACACACACACACAATTAGTGTTCCGGGTGTACATTAATCAGTTAAGGAACCAATATATTCGAACTGTCCTTGAGGAAAAAGTGCAGACTATGTCATTAAATATTTTCCAGTTTATCTATGAATAGATTCTTCTCTTTGGGAAACATCAACAATAAAAGATATCAATCTTTATATGACTGGTACTGTTTGGTGCCTAAATTAAGAGGTTAAAATTTAATGGTAGCTTAGAGGTTGCTCTATTTATTGAACTTGTTCATTCAAGAAGCAACTAACACACCAATGCTTATGTAGATAAATCCAAAATTGAACTTTCTAT